TATTTTTTTCTTCTAGTTTTTCAATACACATTAGCACACATATTATTACGTGCATTAGTACTAGTCAATCATTTGCCAAAACTTTGTGATATGAATTCAAATACGTTCGCAATATGAACTATGAAATTTGTCATAAAATTTAAATAGCCGCTTTAGTAGCGTTCATATGCCGCTTGAATCGCTACCATCGCCGCAAACAAATCCGTTATGAATCTGACTTTTTTTTTTAATAAAAAACATTTTCGAATAAAAAAAAGGTAAAATAAAATGTATGTATATTCAATTTGCCGGCTATGTCAGATTCCAGGGTTGAGATATGTTCATATCAATTGTAATTTGGGTGTCCTTCAGTGTCCCAAAGTTGAATACAAACTGTACCAGGTCGGTTTTCTCATAATTTGAGGTTCAATTTTTGAGCCATTTCAATTTACCGCACATATGAAATAAAAGGACAACCATTGATTCTGTTGGACTTTTCATGCTTTATCATAACTGAACATGCTTTATCACCCTGAAGTTTACTTTGAGAAAAACACTTTCAGACTTAAAAAATCTTGACAGGAATTCAGTAAAAAGCAATTCTTAAAAGTTTAGAGTTGACATAAAAAGGTAAAATTTTGATAATGATAATAAATAGTGCTACGTATGGTTGTAGGTTAGTAAAGTCATACCATTGTAAAGGACACTTTAAGGACAGATTGCTCATTCCATCTGCGAGTCAATTCCAAGAAAAAAAAATCCACCTATTGGTAGAGTGAGAATGCAAGATCGAACAAAAATAATTGTAAATTTAATTTCTCAACACACAGTTTATAAAAAAAAATTATTTGCATCAATAAAACTTAGAAGAACAAAAATTATTCTACTGCAAACGATTCCCATTTGAAGTTTGAAACTTCGAAACTAAAAGCGACATCTAACGAAAATCCGTTACAACATTCGCCATATTGACAAGTGACAAGTGTGTTGTTGTTTCAAATTTCAAGTGGGAATCGTTTGCAGTGAAATAATTGTAGTTTTCCTAAGTTTTATTGATGCAAATAAAATATTTTTTTATAAACTGTGTGTTGAGAAAATGAATTTACAACATTTTTCTACATTTTTTTTATTATAAAATATTTTTGAATTATTTTGTTTTGAAAAAAGTCAGATTCATAACGGTTTTGTTTGAAGCGCTGAAAGCACTGAGAACTTTTTTTTTTGGTTCAATATCAATCGACTAAAACGATACCTAGCGGATATGCTAGCCCTTTAATTTTTATGATAAAGTTTGCAATGGCCTTTCAAACAAATTTTTTTTTTTAGCTTTGATTATATCGCTCTATGAACGGTTTGAATTATTTTCATGGTGACTTCAATTTCAATTTTATTCAAGACAATTTTTCATTGAAAAGAAGTGTAACAATATTCCGCAGTAATGGAGAGATAATGCAATGCTTGAAAAATTTAAAGATTTCATTCGAACAGAGTACTTTTTCAAAGACAATATTGTTTTTAGGGCTGCTGCTTCCGAAGAATTTCACCTAAAAATCGCATTTCTACACCGACATTAGCAATTATCAATAAATTTACCGTATTTTACGCATCAACCTGCGTATTCATTATTTAATAAGCAAAGGATAATAATAATAATAATATAATTTAAATCAACCTGCTTTCTCTTATTACATCTCCGCGTTACCACACATTCAACAGAGATGATCATGTTTTTGTTTTCCAATATCGCTCTTTCATCCGCAGCATGTCAATTCATTTACAAAAATTGATATTTTCTTTAATTTCAATCAAAACGATACCATAATGTTCTCAAGAGTCAAACAGGAGCACATAATGAAAAAAAAAGTTGGATCAAAGTAAGAGTAATCATGGTATTAACAAACATATCTAAGTAATAGTTGGTAAATAAAGTAAATTATTATCTGTATAAAAACAGTTTTCCGAACATTGAGAACTGGCAAAGAGAATTATAGAGTAAAATTTTAATTATAAATATCAGGCGTGTAATTCGAATGAAAATTTGTTTGGCAAAGAAATTAGTTCAATCGAATGTGAAATGATAGGTTTGTGTCGTCAATTAAGATCGCAAGGAGAAAAAAAAATATTGCCTAGTTATTTTTCTCGAAGGAGGAGAGGGACATGGAGGCATGACGCCGTCCAAAAATCTGGATGAGTATGATTTCAAAAATGTGAGGTAAATTTTGTTGTAAAACACCGTTGAATTGCGTCGATTTTGAATGTGATCGAATTGAGCCAAGGAGAAAAAAAAAAATAGAAATATCGAGAAACTATTCTGGGTGACCGAATAAAATCTGTGAATAATTAATGAGTGTGTAGCGAATTGCTCACGCATGCAAAGGGAAAGTGGTTGGCCGGAAATCCAAGCCAACCATCCGTTCGATATATTCTATTGGAACGCATGGTTTTCAGATCAATCAAAATACCGCGGAATACTTAATGCGGTGATTGTTAAATTTTTTAGTAAGTCAATTTGTTGTTGTTGTTGTTTCGAGAGAGGGAACGTTATGTTCGGTGCTCAAAAGAAATTCAGGAATTCATTAATTCACTTTGGAGAAGTGGAGTTTTTCATTTCACTTTCAGGTGTATTACATTTTCAGAAGAGAAAAAAAAACACGGACCATTCGGATGGAGGCGTTCGCATGTGCTATTTACAATTGACAAACATTTTCGGTGCTTTTCCTTTCATTTTCTCGGCAGAGAGAGAGAGAGAGGGAGAGACTAATCCCCTTCAATACGTTGGCTATGGATAATCTATGGGATTGTTCGAATTTTTCATTAAATATCCTTTCATGAAACTACTTATTTTTGTGTTTGTCATCGTTGTTTCCCTATTGTTCTCATTAGTTATCCATGTTAATGATCTATTTCGATTGTCATTTGTCGCATACGCACATTAGGCATTATGCGTTCGAATTTCAACCGATTTAATTATACAATATCGACTTTTGTTCGAAAATGAAAAATTCAATCGGAAAATGATAGTATTCGTCGATGTTGACCTTTGATTTTGTCTTTGTTTGCCAGACGTTAAGCTTGGTGTTTCGCTTCCAATTGAAACAGGGACAATGTCCACGGAATGTGGATGGAGAAGGGGTAAGAATCAATTACTATTTTCAAAATTTCTGTTCGCATATGTGGATAGTGTTCGATATGTGCGTACGATTGCTGGTGATCTTTCGAGTGATACACATGCGTGTGTACACTGTACATGTGTGTGTTCTGTCCAAATGGAGTGAATCGGCCAAGCCAATCATGAAGCAAATTTATTCGCTGTCTTGTTTCCAATTTATTGTCAGTATCAAATCAATCGCACGATCCATAAAAGGCACAGAAACCAAACACACACACACACACACATACGGAGCACTACGCATGTTCACCATCCATCCTAAATATAGAGGATTTTATATTGTTTTTCACATATTCATATTAGATATGTCGATTGCCAATTAAATGACAAATAAAAACCAAACCGAAATTCATGCGTCCATTCTGAAAAGAATGTTTTTGTCGATAGTCATTAGCGATTCAAATGGAAAACATTTGGACAGAATCGGAACAAAGAGGAAGAGAGAGAGAGAGAGAGTGAGAGAAAATGAATACATGAAGCAATAAAACACATTGTCCATTATAATACAATCGAAATTCGATTTGTCCGAGAAAAACAAGAGAAGAAAACTTGGTCAAACTAAAAATGTTATATCCAGTTATGAGCTCATGACTCGGCGCTCGGATTTTTCGGTGGCACATCGTGTCTATCTCTTGCTTTTTGAGCATTGCTTAATAATTCATAACTAGGTATGACCAATTTCTCATGCAATCATTTTGCGTATTGATAAGCGTGTGCGTGTTCTATACACGCATATCAAAATGGCCATCAGCTCAAAGATAAACATATATACTTTAACTTGAAATGAAAAAAAAAAAATAACAACAGCAATTTTCGTTCCGAGCGATTCAAACAGAATTTTTTGAACGTATTTTTAGGAGTGACATTTAACCAGAACGAAATAAAACAACTATTGTACACATTTATCAGTCTATAACCGTTGTTTTCCGTATCGATTGCGTCGCAAAATATCATTTCAAAAGGCGAAAAACGAACGGACCGATTCGGGAAAGATAAATTCTAAAAAAAATTCAAATACAACTGAATTGAAGGAAAATTCGATTTTTTCCTCAAAAATTTTCTTCCATTTTATTCTTCTGCTAGTAACAACGGCTTTAAAATTTTATTCCATTTTGTGCTGACAATTTAAGAGACTCAGTTGTGAACATTCACAACTCACATCAACATTTAAATTTTGCTTTCAGTCTTTTCGCTAAAAAAAAAAATCGAATTTGATGAAAAATCGTCAATTGAGTCTAAGAATCTCTTTATTCGAATTGATTTAAATTTTTAATTTCAACATATACCTATCGTTTTTATCATCAGCATGAATTTGCGCATAATTTAAATATTCATAGGATTTTGGCCAAAAACAAATTTTTCGAATTTCATTGAAAAAAAAAATCAGCCAAATTCATTTAATTTGTCAATGTTTCATTAAATATTTCGTTGAATTAATAAAAATGCATTCAAAATATTATTCTCCATCATTCAAGAACGATAAAACGGCAAGTTGACGAGATAAATGCGTTCGGAATTGACTCAAAACTCTTTGCAAAGGATCTTCATAAAGAACCAATTAGGTAAAACTTACAATTTGAAAATTCAACCATAAATATGATTTCGAATATGAATCGTTTCGATATCATAATGATTCAGTAGATCATAAAAGAGTTTCAAATTTAGCTCTATTGTTTTTTTGATTTCTCTCATTTTCTCAAACGATTCAACTTATTTGATTTTCTAAAACGTTTCAATGGTGCTCACTCTGTCGTTCAAATGTATCAATCAAAGCTGTTGCTTCAGCCGTAGTATGCGTTTGAACTGTCAAGATGGCGTCACTAACATTTGTTCGTAATCACACCGTAGTGCTGTTCGTAAACAGCCTCGCATGTATTTTAAATTAGTAAACAACTGTCAACCAAATCTGACATTGTGGCAAGTGATTTCAAAAACAAAAGTCATTTAGCCGTATTCAACATTGTATGAGGATTTATTCACAGTTTTAATCGTCAAAAGATTTTTTTATCGCAAAATCGTATCTTTCTGGCGATTTTTATTTTGGGGACACACGAGAAAGTATTGAATGGTAAATGGTTATCAGTAAATCAATGAGTTGATTTACTGTGGTTATGAACAATTTCTGATAAAAAGTGAAGAAAAAAAACCAAAATGTAGCCCGTGTAATCGTGTGTTATGGGAATATAAAAGGTGAATTATAAACACTTGTGCTTTCAATTTTCAGAATGATGCGGAAAAATACGACAAAATTGTTAACCGATTTGCGGGCGTTGATGCGTCAATTGCCCAATAATGGAGGGGCAGTGAGTGCGTATATTATTCCAACGGATGATCCACATCAAAGTGAGTATATCAGTGAAACCGATGAGCGACGATCGTTCATTAGTGGATTCGATGGATCGGCTGGAACGGCAATTGTGACGCAAAAACAGGCGCTGCTGTGGACGGATGGACGGTATCATCAACAGGCTGAACAACAGCTCGATGAAAATTGGACGCTGATGAAAGATGGCCTCACCACAACACCCACCATGAGCAGCTGGCTATCAAATAACCTATCAGCTGGCGATCAAGTTGGCGTCGACGGAAATTTATTATCGTTTCGCGAATGGAACCCACTTTACACTGCACTTAGTGCAAATGGTATGGTTTTGTTGAGCAGCACAAATGGAATTCTTATCTTAAAATTGATTGAGACAATTATGACTCTGATTTTGATTGCGATAAACTTTCGTAAAAGAGTATTGTTTTCAATTTTATTTACTTAAAAAAATTTGCTGCTCTTTTCGCAATCGATAATTTTTACATGATTTTTCCATTCTTCTTCTTCTTTGTTCCATTTAAAAACGAAACATCATGTGACTATAGATATTCAACTGACTTCAATCGAACAAAATCTCGTCGATCTCATTTGGGAAGGACATCCGCCCAGACAATTTAAATCCATTATTAGTTTGGATTTGAGCATCACCGGGAAGAAAATTGGCGATGCCGTGCAGTTGATTCGAAAAGAAATGCGAGATAAACATGCGAATGTATTGGTTGTGACCGCTTTGGATGAAATCGCTTGTGAGTATTTATTGATGAACAGTTCAAAATTGCGTGTATTGGTGAATTTGACTTTCAGCCCATTTTTGGCTTTCGTCACTCGCGCTGTTATCATCCCCAACTTTGATCATTTTTTACCTTAATCAAAGCAATAATCATTTTTTATTAATTGAATCCATTTGAAATAGGGTTAATGAATTTGCGTGGATCGGACATCGATTACAATCCCGTGTTTTATAGTTATGTTGTACTAACACAAGACGAACTATATTTGTTTGTTGAAAAGAATCAACTGCCCGTCGGATATGAGGAGCATTTCAGGAAGAATAACGTCACGGTCATTGTGGATGAATACGAAAATGTGCAGACAATACTGAAAGATTTGATCAAAAAATCGACGGGAAAAGTGTGGATCAGTCCAACTTCATGCTATGCTTTGAGTGCATTGATTCCAGAGAAGAAGTTATTGCACGAAGTGTCGCCGGTTTGTGCAATGAAAGCGGTTAAGAATGCAGTTGAAGCGCAAGGCATAGTCGATTGCCACATTCGTGATGGAATTGCACTTTGCAAGTATTTTGCTTGGCTTGAAGATGCTCTCAACCGAGGAGAGAAGGTCGACGAAATTTCTGGAGCTACTAAATTGCAAGGATTCCGAGAGTAAGAACGATTGAAATTCATTTAAATTCACTTAATTAATTAATTAATTTTAAATTGTTGCATTTATTTTCTATAGAAAATTGCCGAAATTTGCTGGTCTTAGCTTCTCCACTATCAACGGCTCCGGTCCAAATGGTGCAATCATTCATTATCACCCAACACCCGAAACCAATCGACCAATTACACTGAATGAAATGTACCTATGTGATTCGGGCGCGCAGTTCCAGTAAGTCAATCGTTTTTTAATGGTTTAAACTCGA